ACCAACATCTGGTGAAAATTTCATGTCATCAGCACCTCTAGTAATATATTTACTGAGAAAAATGTTGACGTGTTCAATACTTATTTTACCCGCTGTATATATTCATATTTCTTCATATATATTCATATTTCTTCATATATATTCAAATCCTGCAGCCGTTTGAATAAAGAACAAGTACTTATTAGCACAGGATAAACAAATAATGTAACTAGATACCACATATCAGTAACTTGTATGACCCTCCATACGTACACAAAGCACCAATGCATCAGAACTCAAAATCTGAAGCTCCTATGCTGAATAGTTTTTGAGCTTTAAGCATATTTGTATGTCCGGACATCCCCTTATTAGATGGAGCCCCCTCCTCAAATATGGGGTCTATTGTAAAGCCGTTGGCTGGTGCAGTGTAGGTCAGACTCATCTACAGTGCTGATAAATTTTATGCTGATCAGTGCAGTGGTTTCCATTCTACGGTTGATCAAAAATCACTTCATATAGATAAATAAATACACAAACTGGACGGGGGGCGGGTGTCATAATAAAATAACTATTTATGTCTTATTAACAGTCAGGTTGGCTCAACAGATGGAGAAGAAAACTGAAGCTTTATTATTAAACCAGAGGAAACAAAAGGCTGACTCGGCTCTAGAAGAAAACTATTGTAAATTGTGTACAGAGACCTGAGAGGATGTTTGTTGTGACTTGGTGCAATGTAAATAAAGTGAAATGAATAAATAAATTCATTATAAAGAGAAACAGGAACAGACTGGACAAATTACAGAGAAGAATTAATGTTGGACTGATAAAAAACCCAAAACTACTGAGCAGAACACAAAGACCTGAACTGAAACACAGAGAAACTGATCAACACAACTACTGTAACTGCAGAAGGATCAAGTCAATCTTCTTATTTAACATTTAATAAAAAAATTATTTTAACATGATGAAAACCTGGAGAAACCATTCTCCTGATCCCGTCCCCCTCCACAGGTACCCCTGAGTCTCTGGCAGAGAAGGAGCTGCAGCTGCTGCTGATGATCAACCAGCTGAGTGGGCTCAGAGAGCAGCTGCTGGGGGCCCACTCTGAGCAGAGGAACATGGCCGCGCTGCTGCTGGAGAAGCAGCAACAGCAGATGGAGCTGGCCCGGCAGCAGCAGGAACAGGTACCACCCAGGACTGGCTCCATGAAGCCCACCTCAGTGTCATCAGACCAGATTTTCAGACATTTTAAACTAAAGTTCTGTACAAATGTAAATCAAATGGAGAAAAGTGTCCACATGCTGTTCAAAATACGATATATCCAGCTGAGTTATTGCTACAAGTCAAAAAGGCCAAGATAGCAGCTAAAAGCTAAAATAAGCTAAAAATAAAGCTGCTTTGCTGAAGATTTTAAAGAAAATGTTTTTGGAAAAAAAAAACTGAAGTCTTATCAGATTTTATTTTCTACATAAAACAAAACATTTACAAAGTATAAAAGTTCCAGATATTAAAAGTCATTTTGACATCTGAAAAGAACCAAACATGACAAAGATTTCAAAGACCCAACAAACATGAAGAAGAGCTGCTATCTTACCTGCTGCAGAAAGCTTCTTCAGCTGCTTCACTTCGGACAAATGATGAGCTCATGGCTAGTCTGACTGACCTGTTAGATTGGACAGAACTCTTCTTTCTCTGCTGAACATTAGAGACGTTCATGAAGACATCTGCAGGCTGTTCTGTCTGTGTCCTAAACACCGAAAAAGATTTAACTCTGAGAGGAAAGTGGGTCTAAGTGGACTCCAGGTGTTTCAAAGTAAGGGTTTCAAAACCACTACAATTTCGTATGGTATTAGTGTTTAATATTTATTTTTCCTCTTGTCTGTGCCGCTGCAGATATTTTTGCCCAAGTTTATCATACRGTCATAATTTCATACAGTCCCATGCCTAGTGTWGAATATTTATCATAACTCCAGATATGCATGGTCTGTCGACACAATTTAAAACCTGGAGAAAAGTTTGACATCGCTACTTGTAACTAAAATTGAAACAGAGTCTCAGAGAGGGCGTGTCTTTGTGGGTAGAACGATGGAATTAGGTCATGTGACGCAGTGCACATGAAGTGACTTCAGAGGGTTAAATACAGATGAAAACAATAATATTTAATGAAGTGCCTGGTCATTTAGTCACTAACACCCAGAAATAAATTCTTGTTTTAAACATCAGGGAGCTATCTACAGTGGGTAAGATGTTGATTACTAAAATCCTTTAAAGTGCCTGTGGCATGCATYTACTTCAAAAACAAAAAGTCAAAGAAAACACCTTTATACTTAAGAAAATTGCCCAAATACACATGATTTTACCCATTTTGCCTATTTTCTTTTGAATTTATCTCAGCCAAAGTAAGACAGGAAGTGACATCAAAGAGGAACTCATTAATAAAATAAAATCTTTGGTCTTTGTGTATTAAAACATTATCATTTAAATGTTAACTCTTCTTCATCTCTCTTTGATAGAGACTCAAAATAATGTAAAGAAACATCAGATTCTTCTCTACAGCCTGTGTTGTTAGTCGTAGCAATGACATGTCCACTGCAGACATTCCCCTTTGACATCACTTCCTGTTACTTCACATGCAAATATCTCAACAACTGTTCATCTCAGCGGTGTGAAATTTCTTTTGCAATAAGTTATCAATGTTATCTTTCCAAAAATGCATTTCTGTTTATCTCAAAAAATTTCATGTCACAAGTACTTTAACCCTGTTTGTGTTGGAAGTGTTGACGGCTGTTTCTTGTGCTGTAGCAGCTAAAGAACTTGTCCTGTGTCTCAGATCGCCAAGCAGCAGCAGCAGCTGATCCAGCAGCAGCATAAGATCAACCTGCTCCAGCAGCAGATCCAGGTCAGCTGCTCCTCGCACATCAGGCGCTCTGTGTGGAGGTCAGCATGTTGGAGATCACCTGTTCTTTGTCCCAGCAGGTGAACATGCCCTACGTGATGATCCCAGCCTTCCACCCAAACACCCAGCCCCTCCCCGTCACCTCTGACCCCCCCATGCCGCTGCCGCTGCAGCCCATCCCCTGCAAGCCCAGTAAGTCTCACTGCTTTCAGATCAGATTGATTCATCCAACAGAAATGATCAACTCTGCATGTGCAGCTGAGTGAAACAAGGCAGAGTTGTTCCAGGCAGAAAAAACAAGATACAGGAGCATAACCTGGAAGTTGACATACTATGTGAATGGTTTTGGACAGAGACCTGACACATTTATTGGACTTGGTTTTCTGTAAACGACATTGAACTGAATTAATAAGATAATTAAAGGGGAGCTGTGCAGTTTTTAGTCCCTTGTGTTCCTCTGAAGTATGTTTGAATCTCAGACAGGTTGTTGAGGTCTGGTCTGTGGTTCTTTCTGTCCTCCTGGTTGTTCTCATGTAAAACTGAAGGACAGTCCTCCTGGGACACAGGTCTGAAGATGTCTTTGTCTCTTCCAGCGGTGGACTACTCCATGCAGCTGCTGTCCAATTCTCATGCCACCCCCGTGAAAAGGAGCAGTGGTTCGTTCCGGCAGGTGAGTATCAGTGATGGTTTCTGTCAGCTGGGACAGTGGTGTGCTCCTGCTCAGAGAGGTGCTGAACGGGTTAAAGATCTTAAAGAAAGTGATTCCCTCAGGATTAAAGAAACAATTTGTTTTTCTGGAGCCTGAAATGCTTCAGTACCACACCACACCCACTGTTCAAAGGTTTGCTCTGTGTGCGTGTGTGTGTGTGTGTGTGTGTGCAGCACAAACTGCTTGCATGAAGTGTTCTTTAGAACAGATAGAGCCATGCAGCTTGAGTCAACAGCAGCAGTTAGAGGCTGAAGATCAGCCGAAGGTGTGACAGATGTGCTGCGACACGTTAAACACACGCCTCACCCCTCCACCTGCTGCTTCTGCTCTGTGTTCAGGAGGCCAGTCAGCCCCTCAACCTCACCTCCAAACCCAAGGGCCTGGAGCTGGGGAAGGCCTCCAGTCCTCAGGGCCTGGAGGTGGGATCCCTGGGACTGCAGGGGGCCTACAGGTCCAGAGATCTGCAGAGGGAGGTGTCCCACAGCCCACCTCGCCCCACCCTCGGTGAGTAAACCACACACAGACCTGAGGAGGACTTCGGGGGGGGTGTACCAGTATCGGACACTCCTACACCTCCAACTGGGACTCACTGGGACCAGATCTCACAGAACCACAGCTGTGTTCTCACTGATTTACCAACTGGTTGTCACTGTTTGCCTCAGGTTTTCTGGGAGATGGGGACGTGGTCACCCAGGCCATCCATGATGCCCAGCAGCTCCTGAGGAGCCACAGCAACGGAGGGAGGGACAGAGACAGGGATGGTGGAGGGAAAATGGTGAGCTAAAACTACCTCACTCTGATCTTCAGCTACTGTATAGTGCATGGTACATATGGTACATACATGGTATATATGGGGTGTATAATGTACAAATGTACATTTTTTTAGAATCAGTTTTTCACTTTATTCATTTTTTTAAAAATAACTAAATTAATTTATATAAAATAAAAATACAAACCACAAATAAAATTAGATATGTTGTCTATAGTGTATATACTCATACATATATTTGATATTTAGTGTATACTTGTATATATTTGGGGTATATACT